ATTGAAAATGAGAACCCCGACAAGTTACCATAGTCTTCTGTAAGGTAGAAGCTTGGACCTTTTGGACCACTTGAGTAGTGAAACGTACAGTACGGACTGTACGTACATGTGACGCCCAAGCACGAATTTTTGACGGCTCCGTAACGTATCGTCATTGTCAAATTTTGTATGGAAAAAGCTAGTTTGTTTCTTACGTCCGATATGGGCGCTGCTTAAAATTTTGATTATGCGATACGTTACGGCAGCTGTCAATGATTCGTGCTTGGGCCGCTTATAACATTGGACGAAGAATCTCGCTACGGGTGGAGGCATAATTATAATGATACATGATCCATAAAAATTTAAATTACAATGAATTTATTAAAAAAAGTAACAATTTAAGTTACCATGAATTAAAAAAAATACTACTTTTAGGATCTACGTTTGATCTACGTAGTTTAAATGGATAATAATTCCATAATAGATATGTTGCGAAGTTTTAGGATATTTTGTAAACGATACACATCAATATTTTTTTGTATTTAGGAGGTATATTTACTGTTTATAACAGACTGTTCTCGCTAGCTTTATTTAAATAATGTTTAAGTTTCTCAGGTGTTTTAGTCTTTAATATAATTTTATCTTAGATAATTAAAACCACACTTCTTATTTCAGCCGACATCTTTATTATAAATCATAGACAGTTACATTACAACCATAGACAATCAACTAATACTAGATTACAGATTAGCAATACAACATCAGGTATCTCAAAAATCACGGGTTAGGATATTTCACTAGTGTATATTTCACTGTAGAGTTGATCTTATTTATGTCCATTCAAATAGCTTATATTTACATTTTTGAGTTTATATTCTGTACCGACCATAGATACTGAACTATTTATCACTGTCATAAGGAAAAGCGGTTTCTTTCTGGACTGAATTAAAAATCAAACGAAAGAAATGATTTCATAACCTAATGTACAAATAATATTCTACAATACTATTGAGCGAAGTTGAGTGCCTTATTATAACGTTTTTTTCTATGATTTGGAATAAGTGGAATATGTTCAAGGAAAGCCTAACAGGCTGACCTCATCAACTACAATGTGGTGGGTAATAATTGTTACTAATTCCAGCTAGGTACATTCTTAATAATTTCGCACAACCTTTTTCATACTGGAGCACGACCAAGTTGACCTTTTTTAATGTCCGGTAAAAGTCTTGCGTGTCCTTCAACCACCGGGGGAGCGAGATGAAGGTATCTGGGACTCCTCCCGCTCATTTCCTCCAGCCCTGGGGCTCGATGAAATGAGCAGGGCTCGCACAGGGCCAGTAAAAACCAGAAAATGCTCCTGTGCCGTTCACCCGACGCGCATTTTGAGGACCGCGGTCCTCCTAATGCGTGTCCGGAGTGCGGACGTGGTCGTGGCACCCGATTTCCAACCGGCCACGACCTGGTGCAGATTGGTGGGTGTAATATGTAAGTAGGCTATAAAAATTTTACTAATCCCCTTTGTTAAATTGTATTTTACACTTGCATTAAATCTATTTCCTCTTAAAAATATTTTGTTTCATTACAGTTGTGTCTGCGGTCTGCTTTGCCAAATATTAAACATTCTATTGTTGATATTTACCGTAATACTCATCGTTCTTCTGTGCGTGTGGGCAGTCAATTACGTTAATGTGAACGTAAAATAAAATTAATATAAGGAGATCTAGGTAAATTAAGATTTATTATCTTGTAGGATATAAAAACATACTTTTGTAGACAGACTAACGAAATCTCTCACTATATCTGTATGTTAAGTGTAATCGGAATTGTGAAAGCAGTTAATATAATATATACGGCTGTTATCGGCTGATATCGGCCGGCTAATATCTTCGCACCATTCACCAGTTACCATTCTTGTGATGATGATGATGATGTTATGCCCCGTTCCCTAAAATAAAGAACAGATATTGTTCTTTATTGGAATACTTCTAATATTTCTCGTGTTCCGGTAATATTTCTTATGTTACTACAAACAACCCATGGAGCTCGGCAACCTTTCCAACTTCATAAATACGATATTACTAAGCAGGGTTGACTGATTCCATGATGACTGAGTTGCTCTAGTATTATTCTCATTACAGAAAACCAGTGAAATAGCGCTAATTTTGGTGGTGTTAAGTTTCTCACGTTACCACTATTAGGCTCAACTCACACTGGCGGAGAGTGGACGCGTCATGGTTTTTGTTTGTTTCGCCTGTAGCAAATTCATTTATATTTTCCCATTATCAAGGTATTCCTACTGATTCAACGCGCGACTCTTTAATGCTAGGATTCAAGTATTTCGCCTGCAGCAAATTCATCTCTATATTTCAGACAGTCCCGAGGCAAAATCATGACGCGTCGCGTCGCTTCGTCTATGTGAGTTGGGCCTTATGATTGTGATTCCTACAAGAAACTAGCAAGTGATGTTCTGTTACACTAACATGAGTTGATTATTGTGGTCGCTATAGCGACCATCAACTCATGTTAGTAGATCAACTTATAAGTTGATAGATTTGTTTTTACCAATAAAAATTAAGAATATAATCTTACCTGTTGTAAATCTGTAATAACAAGATATAGATCATTATGCTTCTCTGGATCCGAAGTTAATGCGGATTTATATCGGAAACGCGCGGATCCACATCGTCTCCGTACGTGAAAATTTTACAGAATAGCACTGCAAGTAATAAAACTCCTGTGAGCTTTATACAAATTGTCTACTTCATGGTATTTAATAATAAAATGCTAACCTATACTATTCTTTATTAAAAAGGGGGTTTATGTTAAATTATTAATATTCAGGTTCTTTCTATTATGTTTTATGAAGAAGTCGACAGGAGTTATTAAAACATGTGGTAAGCACCTCAAGTTAATTATTATTTGAGAAAATTCTTATTTTAAGGACAATTACAATATTTATTCTGATTTAAATTTAATAAGGATGTAAAGTAAACATTAGATATAAGACTTTGATCTTAAAATAAATAAAGCAGTTGCTTTTTAAAATAGAATGGGAAGGTATTCTATTTATTACGAGAATTATGACAAGTGTTTCAGGATATTTAAAATTGAAAGATTTTTTTTATTATTATTAGTGGATACTCATAATTTTTCATAAGTTTCGAAAATTAGTAATCAGATGAAAACTGAAATCGACAAATAGAAGAGAATCGACAGTAATAAAACAGTACAGTAATAAAAATTACGAAATCGCCACAAACGCTACGAGTGTATGTGTCGCCGCACACGGGCCACACGCCACAGCCACAAACGCCGCCACGCGAAGCTAGAAGCGCCTACTAAAGTGGCTGAAGCGTGCGACAGCGGCCGACTAAGGTAAGGGAGAAAGGGGTGGGGAATCGCGCGAGTGACGTGTGGCGGCGTGTTGTATCGGCGAATTAAGTTGCCGATGTGGGCCACAAGAATCGGGCAACAACGATTTTTAGCGTGTGGCGGCCACCGGCGTACCGTGTGTGGCGAGTCCATATAAAGTGTATAAAAACTACAAGAAATATGCCGGTGGCGGCGTTTTGTGGTTGTGGTCGGTGACCCGTGTGCGGCGACACTAAGGGAGACAGCAAGATGATCCTACCATTTCTACTCCCTGCCACAGTTAGGTCCTCGTACTTTCGGCCTATAGCTACGAAGCTCGTCTATAATCACTCTATCTAATATTCTAAATATTTGTAAGTTTGTATGTTTATTACTCAAACACACAAAAACAACTGAACAGATTTGGATAAAATTTAGCAGGCGTATAGTTTATGACCTAGATTGAAACAAAGGATACTTTTTATTCAAGAAACGTTTTAGGTTCCTGTGGGATTCTCAAAAAACTGAAGTTAACGCGCACGAAGTCGCGGGCGACTGCTACAATAAAAGCCTATGTCCATGCGCCCATGCCCCAGAAATGAATACTTTAATAAGCTGATGATGATTTTAAGATTCACTGTTAATTTGCTTCGTATTAATTTTCAGTTGCTTATGTGGTTTAGTGTGCCAAGTGATTGTCGTAATGGTAATAATATTTATTACTATAATTATTGTATGGGCGGTGTTATTATCTGTTAACCCAACCTTGTAAATGGAGTTCAAATGCAAGTGGAGTTCAGTGTGAACGTAAGAGTGTTTTGAATTAATTTCTAGACAGTTTTAATCTCTATTTCATTTGTAATGGTATTTTTGGATATAGTTTTTTTTATTCTTTATTTGTCTAAGAGCTTTGATCGTCATATTCGGGATTTGGATTTTATCGCAAAGTATCATTACTTTTGACTAAGATAATAAGTATAATAGTACAATAATACACGGTAGTAGTCATTTCGTTTATCTCGATAACATTTTTTTTTTCAAATACATGCTGCAAAGTTCATAATTATAATATAAATACCCTACCCCATCTGATATTAAATGAAATTCGAGTTGAATAGCTGTAGGTGTCTGGAACTCAATGGTTTACTCCGTGGAGCCCTGCCACCTTTGGACGCTTGTTAACAACGCTAAGCTTGTTCACGGGTACGGTTGGTTTGTACGTTTGTACCCAGCCTATTTATTTCAGTTTTGATGCTGTTGGTCGCAGATGACCTTTACAGCGTCACCGGGTTTGAGGACGGCGAGATCCCAAGGGGACCTCAAGCCAAGAATTGGCGAGTGCCTCTAAAGATATTTCAGTCGGATGGCATCTCCCCGCGGGAGAAGTCTCCTCTCCGTCTGGAGCCTCTGAACCACTCGAACTTGAGGGGGTCGGCTCAACGTGGGGACGGGGAAAAACGACCAGGTACGTACCTGTACCTGGTATAGTGTGTCGTGTGTAGACCGGGTCATCGCACTCTTACGGTACCCTACGGGTGCGGTGTCTGCCTAATGCCAAGCTAGTGTGCAAGTATGCTAGTTGTGTAGTGTTGGTGTTTGTGGCCTGTGTGTGGGAGGAGTCGGAGGCGCACCCAACCCCAATCCGTGTCGCGCCGGTGTCGTTTACAAACCTTCATGATGTCCGGAGGTAGACACTGTTTGAAATCGTGCCTAGTCCTGGGTAGAAATCGAACCTTTAACAAGTTACTTACTCATCTAAAGAGATAGAACACCACTTAAAGGCCATGTGTTTTTTCTCAGGCCTTCCTATAAGATGGAGTGCACATTCCCTAGGCGGGCGCTCCATGTATAACTAATATAGGTACATATACCTGTCAAGCTTTAATTTCCGAGTTTACCTACCCCTAAAACGTGCTAACACACGTTTCATATTGATTGATATGAGGAATACGTGTTCAGATCGTATCTATCTCAATTTAATTACTTTTTCGTACAAATTCAATTTGAACACTCATCGCTAGCTTATATCACAGTCTGTTTCAAACGTTACCGTGCGACGTAATAAACGTGACGCAGAATGGATATATCAGATGGAATATTCATCAAACAAAAAGACTTTTCCATCATTTTGACTAAAAAAGATAGAATGAAAGAAAGGATCAATGTGTGTTCAATGGCAAATTCTGCTAAGCCTCTTACGTATTTCGCATCTTTCTTTGGCCTGCAAATGATAAGATACTGTAATGGGAGTGTGTTCAAAGTGAATTTGTTAAGGAAGTTTTACTGTTTAGTTGTAGTGGCAACAATAATTTCACTCGCTGTATTCGTTAGACCTTTCAGTTGGCGCTATACTAAGGCAGATGTACCACTAAATATGCTGACTAAAAGCTACAGTGTATTCCATACAATCGAAGCGATACATGTTATTTTCATAACAACCTTTGGAAACAGCACATACTATGTAAAGCTGTTTAAAATTCTTGACAGCACAGACAGACATTTTGGGTTATCAAAGAAAATGTTTAAAATAAGAATTATAACAAGTATATTGCTCATCTTACTGCCAGTTATTCAAACATCTTACACTTTCTGGCTGAGTAAATTTAACATAAACAACATAGGACTTCATTTCACTTTTTTCATGATAATGGTGCAAGGAGCTATCATAATTTTCTTCTCTATAAATATATATTTAAAACAGATGATGTTGAATAAATTACTTATCTTGAAAACACTCAATACAATACCCTCACAGAAAAGAAAATTATTCGACGAATCTCTCTTGAATATCATGCTTAAAGTAAGTACCAATTATAATAAATCAGTCTGAAGGACTTATTGATAGTTCTTATCCGAGCCCTTGTTTAAGTTGTGTCTGCATTCAGTGCTACTTCTGATTTAAGATGAAATTCCCACAGCTTTTACTAGTAAAAAGAGTCTTGCTAAATAATGAAGAATAACATGACTATATCGTCTAACAATGCAAAAGTTAATAACAATAATAGGAGACAATAATCTTAATATTATATTTATACCTATATAATGTTTGAGCTACGGATAGAGTCTGTGCAGAAAGAGAATGGGCGTGGCGAAAAACGGAACTAACATTAAGATTTTTATTTGGCAATCAAACCCAGCAATCTGTAAAATGTCAAAGTTTTGTATTGACACGGATTTGTTTGTTGTTGTGATATCTTGCGGTTTTTTGTATTTAATCATGCCGAAAAGGGGTAAAACCTTACAAATACGGTAGAAAAGCACAACAGCGCCCTACAATCATAATCCCATTCTCTTTCCGCACAGACTCTATTTTTTGCTTTAATTGGAGTGTAAGTTTTTATTTACTAGCTGTATTACCCACGGTTTATTAGGGATTCCCGCAGTAAAACGTAGCCTATGCGTTAATCCAGGGTGTAAGCTAACTCCGTGCCAAATTTTATTAAAATCGCTCCAGCCGTTTAGACATCAAGAAGTAACAAACATACACACACACAAACTTTCGCCTTTATAATATAAGTGTGTTTTATTTATTTTATAATACAAATACAGACCATGTCAGTGAAATATGTACATATGTGTATGGACACATACATATTTCAAAGACCATATACGAAAACCTGGTTACCTTAGGGTTTATGTGTGATTGAGAGCCACTCCTTTACTACTTTATACACTTTCAAATTGACATTGTAAGTAATGTGTTTTAAATTTATATTTTTTTATTCATTTATAATTTATATTTAATTATTTATTAATTACAACGTTTTTGTGTACTGTATAGACGCAGAACCGATCGATCGATCGAACGATTCTGACCTTGTTTGAGCCGTACGTACGGTGATTTGAGGAGCACTAAACGATCAACTGATCGAATGCTCTACATGCGGACGGTCCATAGGGTCCTCCGCATAGACTGTCCATGTAGCACTAAATCTAGCCTTTTTGGGGTTCCGTGGTTCCTTAGTCCTGACAAGGAACCCTTATAGTTTCGTCTTGCCCGTCTGTCCGTTCCCGGTTTTGCATGGAGACTATTAGCACTAGAGAGCTGTAATTTTGTAGGGATATGTATATCGATCACGCCGAGAAAATGGTAGGCTAAAATTTATCATTTTTAAGGTAGCTCCTACATGTAACCTGGGGATGATTTTTTTTCATCATCTATCACATCGTGTAGGATATCGTTAAATAGGTCCTTTTAAATTACTTTCTAAAAATATTTTTAGATTTAGGGATCTGCTTGCGAAATATTGAACTTTAAAGTGCTAACTTTGTTCGAGTAGGGCGTCCCCCCTCTTTAAGCTACTGGCTTGAAAACCCTGGAAAAGTTCATGATAATAGTGCTTTTCATGAACTTTTAATGAAAACTAAAACGGTTAAAATAGATTTGTTAGTTTAAGAGTCCTTTTTCAGGGGTTGATCGCTTCAGATGTAGCTTTTAGTCAGTAAGAGTCTTAGATAACCTTGCAGCCGGCTGTAGGGTATCCACGAGGATATCGCACCCGGTCCCCAGCCTGGGAGGAAACAAAAAAAAATTTGGCAGTTATCATTCATATTTAAAAAATAATACCATAGAATTAAATTTGAGAAGTAGTTTGACCTTGATTTAGGTATTTTAGTTGAGATACATAGATTTATATTAAATGGTTTTTCTAATTTCCGATATACAAAATAAAGACTCTTGCTAAAATATATTGTGGTAACTACAGGCAACTACGGAACCCTACACTGAGCGTGGCACGACACGCACTTGGCCGGTATTTTGTATCAGGAAAAGGCATTTCGATTCCCTCGCCAACCGGGATTAACCAAACGAGGGTATCTGAAGACTCCTCCTTACCCATTTCACCCATCTCCAAAGGCTCGATGAAATTAGCAGAGCCCTACCCAGTAAAAACCGGCCAAGTGCAAGTTGGACTCACGGACCGAGAGTTCCGTACAAACTCAATTTAGTACCTCTACGCGTTCATGAGAAAAACGGTCTTGACAGACGGATGAACGGACGGACAACAAAGTGATCCTATAAGGGTAGAAGGATCCTATAGGGTTCTGTTCTTTCCTTTTGAGGAACCAAACCCTAAAAACCAGAAAATACTCCTGCACCGGTAAGCCGACACGCATTCTGAGGACCGAGGTTCGATTTCGCGTCGGGAGTGCGGCACCCATCTTCGACTGGCCGCGCAACTAAATCCAGCCTAACATTTATTTTTGCTTATAACAAACCTTTATCAACATTTCGATAGACGATTCTATGCGATTGCCTGCTCACTCTCGAAGAAGGAGACCCCGCCTTCGAGGATCTAACTTCTCAACATGGCTTACACTATATTTAACACAAAATTACCTGCTCTGTAGGCAAAGAATCGTATATTTTAAATCTGTTTGAAATTTTATTTTATTTCAGAAGGTATTTAGGGAACCCGTATATATTGAGCGGAAGCACCGTCGATATAGCTGGTTTGAACTTATGCAGATTTACGATAAAGTTTCCGACTCCATCTTCATGTTCAATAAAATTTATTCTGGCCAGGTAACTATAAGTAGTTATAAGCGAGTTTTATTTAGTTGCTTCGTTATTATTATTTGATTTTTTTTGGGGCTTTCCACAATAAAACTGTCATTTCATAAGGTGAGTGTCATTTATTTTGTGTCACTGAGACCTGAAAGATCTATTGTGATTCGGTACTAAATAAAAGTATTTCTTTTAGCCCGATTGGTGGTTGCGAAGAAACCCAAAAAAATCTAGCTTTTAAAAAATTGGCTTTCTGTTCTAATTGATTCAGAGAAGAAGTAGATTGTTTTATACTTATGAACTTTGTTACATTACATTAATTGTTGTAAACTTATGAAATATTTCCATTTTGCAGGTTTTTATTATGTTTAGTTCTTGGCTTCTGTGTACGCTGTTGACTCTGTGCAGGTTTTTATCTCCAACAGTAAAGGTGATATTTGGCAAAAAGTATATGAAATAAACTGCATTCTTATTTGACTATTATTTAATATTATAATAAGATAACCTGTTGCAGTTATTGGAAGTAATATTCAGCGATTTATTCATGTATTTGTGTTTGAACGGTCGACCCATATATCTCACGAAAATGTGTGAGATGTTCATCGAAGAAAGGAAAAAGACACTGGCAATATTAATGAATCATCTGATACGAGGAGACTTGGGTAATTAGATTACTACAATATCTTACTTTTTTATTACTAAATTGGTGTCAAATTATTTGGATTATTATTGTTTTTTTTTATACGCTCACACAATATTTTTTTCTACGGTCTCCTCTTTATCCCCCATGTTCAGTAATAATTTAAAAGAATAAAGGAATTTTCATATGTTTTGGATACTTAAAGAATTTGATAAAAATTTTGAAATTCATAAGAAGCCACAAATAGCAATCAATATTTGACCTGTTGCTGGAAATATGTTTAGAAATATTTATTTTGAATAATTTTGTGATCCTAATAATCGATGAATCATGAATAGAATCAAATCGTATTGACTTAGGAAGGTTTTATTTTTTATATAAGCCTCTTTCTTTAGACATTATAGATTTTAGTTTCATTTTATCATGCATTTGCATAAGAATGTGCTATCTTTGCTGGTTAACAGGCCACAAAATATAAGGTCTGATTAAAAAAGATAAATACACAATATTATCCCTGCGGTGCCGGAGAAAGAATACTACTGACCGCCCCTTCACTTCCCGCGCGTGTCGTAAGGAGCGGCTCAGATATCCCTGAGCTTCCATCCGCTCTTCTAGTGGTAGGGTGCCTAACACCTGCCTGGTTTGTTACCACCGTACGCATGGTGAAAAACCCGTGAAGTGATTTGAAGAAGATTGCTGCGACGGATTCAGTCCAGCAGTGGCATTCATCGAACCGAAGCCGGGAGGACTGCATCGACTCACCAGCCAGGTAGACGCGTAGAAACGGCTGTCCCGCTGGCCGCCCGTGGCACAGTACAGTGACCCAAACGTTCTTAACAGGGCTTGTTTACCGATTAATTTTCAAACCTAAATCAGTATCAAGTATATTAGGAGCATTTTATTTAGGTTTGGCTCTACCTTAACCTTAAAAAAACCGGTTTTCCTAAAAAGTGAAAACAAATAGGTTTTGAATCAATTTAGCGGTTTTTATAGCGTTTCATTTCGCTCTTACTGACGGCATCGCCTTCGCCGTTTCAATTTTATCATTTTATGTCAGTTTCTTTCCAACTACAGAGCAAGTGAGTGAAGTAGTGTGTTAGTACACAACTACAAAATGAATAACTTGACTCACTAGACGCTAGCAAACGTGTCAATAAATGCATCAATCTCTGAGCATTAACAAGATGAGACTTGATTAGCTCAAACAAAACAAACTTTAAGCGATACCGACGCCTGCACTTGTTGCTCTGGATTAAACCGGTTTGTTAAGGTTTTAGGTACCGCTTTCATTTCTGACGCGCTCCGAGCGAAACCTTTACTAAAAACCGGTATTAACCTTTATTTACCGGTATTTTCAAAACCGATTACAAGCCCTGGTTCTTAACCAGTTCGCGAGGCTGCCCATCATGTCACGCATAATCTCGGGGTGGACCGTCGTGCTGGTTGGTGACCGGGGTGTGGGGTCCCGGCGGCCACTCCCGGGGAGGTGCAAAGGCCCTTCCGTCCGTTGGGTCGGCGTATCTCTTTCTTAGGCAGTTACTTAAGAAAACTGTCTCCACATATTTGCCTGACCTTGTCGTGACTTACTCCACTCGATTCACGTCTCTCAATTTATTTTCATGATGGCAGCCCGTAAAACAAAGTTTGGTTGTACAGCGGTGCATACCCGCAAGCCTTCCACGCTGTTTGAGGTCGAGTTCTGCAATATACCCGAACTCAACTATAACCTCAATGCTGTCTACCACCATCTTGAGACAGCACGGCCAGCCTTATTGTTTTCCACGGAGACACAAATACTTTCGCCAGCTGACACAGGCTACCTTAACTACCCCGGCTATGTGCTTGAAGCATTTAAAGATAGTGTTTATCATAAAATATCGGACTTACCAGTTTGTAATAATAATAATATTTTGTATGAAGATTTATTCAATTTAATTAAAGATGAATTTAATAAAATCTTCAAACGCAAATTAATTAAATGCCATAGCTCTAAAAAGAAATTTAGTGATTGGG